GAAGATTGGCGGTCGCCGCAGAGCGCCGATCCATCGACCGCGATTAATTTCGATGAAAGAAAAGAAAAAAAGAAGCAAGACGAATCGTGAGGATTGGAACATGAGAGCCGGGAATGCGGCTATAATATTTAAAAATAGAGAAGATGCGAAGTGTTGTGCGTGCGCGTGTGTGTATGGGACGTACGTGCGTGCGCGCGCGCGCATCAGGGAGACATAATAATTCCCGAAATTAAACCGAACATTGCGGCGCTGCGTGGAAAGTACTGTTCGCTGGCAAATTCGAAACGTTTCGCAACAGGTGTGGCGGAAATTCGGCGCGTCCACGGCTGTAACTTAAGCCGCGCAAGATGTGTAACGCGCCGAGACACTTGTTGCCAACAAGTTGGAAATTTACTATGTTTTAAGCAAAAATGATCCATGGCGATTTAGACGTGATCTTATTAATCCCAAACACTCGTAGAATTCCTCTCGAGAGAATCTTTCTTAATATATATTTAACAAATTTTCAAGAGACTTACATAAAAGATTTTATTTCTTAACTTAAAAGAAAAACATTGCAAAGATTAATTCATTATGCTTGACAGATTGGATTCTTATATAATATCGATAGAAGTTTTTATATCCCACAGTCGCGACCACAGTATATGCGTAATCAATTAACTCTAATCATGCGAATAGAATCAATAACAAAAATTAAGTTTCTGTTGAAAGTTATTTAAAAAATCGATAAAATATAGATGAGAAATATAATGAGAACGTGGGAACACTGTTTATCAATCACATCGGTCGAACAATTTTGAGCTAAGCACAAGAGTATAATTAGTTCTTACGCGTTACAAAATAATCCACAAGAATGTAATTAGTAGTTTGCGTGTTACAAAGACCATTTGCTTCGAGACTATAAAATATGTGTGATGTGTCGTGTTGCACGCATTGATTTCCATTGATTTCTACAATGTGTATAACAGGTAAACCCTCAGACATGGATTTACATATCTGACAGTACAGGCTTACTTTATTAACTAAGCGTGCCAGTTTTTGCTGTAATAAACGACCGCTAAGATAATTAACGACCGCGATGCTAGGTATTACTTTGAAAAAAACGCCTATTTCAAGCGCAAAATACACGCAACCGGTATTCGCACAGATTAAAGAGAGTACTTACGGTACATGATTTTTAAACGATATCGATATAACACATCCATCTATGTTAAAAATTATCATAATTAAATTTAAGATCGTAATATTTTGTTAATCAATATATATATTTTTATTAAAATATTTTTCATTAACATAAGATTTATCCTCTTATACTTTATATTATAGATTTTATATTTTTAATAAATCGATATGTTATATTGAAATAAAACCATTCTAATGTTCCAATCGGCAGCAGCTGCGGAAAAAAAGAAAGGAGCGAACGATGCGCGGGAAACGAGGATTTTCTAAAATCAGACTCGGTATTGTGTGAAATTGCTCTTTCGTGACGTTACCGGTGGATCCGATGGCGCTAATTGGGCAACGATTTCTACGAATTGAAATTACATTGTAACGATCACGAGACACGGTGCGCTTCCGCGTGCGCCGAAAAGAGCTCGCGCGCTCCTTTCCCACAGGAACCGTTCGCGCATAAAAGGCCAAACGATGAAATAATTGCTGGGAATCGTTAATTCTCCCTGTAACACACTTAGCAATAAAATCATTTACACCCGACCGACCGACCGGCCCCGTCCGTTTATTATGATCCATAGAAATCGCTTTCTCTCTCCCCGCCGTGACTTTCGGACGACCGTGTTCATCGGTTTTTGCCGGATCACTTGGCCTTACGTTACTTTAAACAAGATTTTCGTGACTCTCGATCACTTGATCTTACGTGTTTCGCATCAAAATCATCAGAGAATTGTCGAGAAAAGGATCTTTCGATAAAAAAATAAGATTAACAGGATCCATAAAATTATAATAAAAAGAAATGAGACATATCAGATGCACATATTCGAAATATGTAAAAAAATGTTAGAATTTAATTATAAAATATTTAAAAATTAGTTTTAAAAAATTTTTATTTTTTTTTATCTGCTAAAGAATATGTTTGTGTATGTGATCAAAGTCAATTTAATTTTCAAAAAATAATTTGAATTAACAAAACTCATAAATTCAAAAACTCATTAATGCAAATGCATTAAATTGCTTATACGTAAGCCGAGATGTGGCTTTCACAAAAGGTATTGTAGAGAACTTCTAACTATTATAGAAACATTCCTCATTCGTTTAACGTGGGAGGTCCTGAAAATATTTTTCCCGCATCACATTCCAGTACCCGGTATAAATTCATTAAACAATCATTATTAAAATATAATTAAGGTAAGAAAATATAATTGAGATTAAGAATAAAGATATAATTATTAAGTATATGAGATATAATTATTAAGTATAAAGTATATGAGATATAAAAGAATTCTTGTCATGTTCTCATAAGTATATTATTTCCGCGTTATAATACGTTTGGCATGAACGTTCGTTAATGCTCGAATAAATTTCAACCTTAAAAATCGCCGTGAACTAATTACTAATATGGCTTAAGTTCGCAGAAGTCATTAACACTGTGGGCGATCGCTCACGTTTCGCTTCGTGAAAAAGTTCGGTACCGTTATTCATGGCGACGCGATCAAAACGAGTCGCGTTGGCACACACGATACACCAATTAATTTTTCAGCAGTAAATTCATATCGTTTTTAGACGCGATCGCCAACGAAGCGGCAATTCTGAGTTGTTTCTAAACGTGAGTATCGATGAGAAGCCATAAAGAACATATTTTATAATCTAGCGCAATTTGATATAAAATGAACTTTGTGACTTGCCATACAATTTATTTGTCTTTTCAACTTTCTTTTTTGTTTCTTCAATGTATTCACAACTTTATAAATACAAATTAATATTATTGTAATATTTATTACAGTAATATATAGTATATAGTATATAGTATAATATTATAGTAATTATTATAATATTTATTTTTAGAGAGATATATTTAAAATATAAATTATTCTCTATAAATATGCGGAGATTGATTGCAGATTAAAATATATAAAGATGCATAAAGAAATAAACCAGTTTTTTTCATTGTTATTCTACTTCATAAATTCATCGCTGTCAAAACTGATGTAATTTTTCACCTTTAGAATTATACATGATTGCGTATAACTATTACATCCTACTTTGAAAAACGAACAAGTCGACACGACAATTACACTGCCATATAAATAAATACGTATGAGTATATTATTAACACCTATTACGTAATAATTACAACAGTGCCATATAATGGTCCGATAGAAAAAAAGCAATCGCGTCTGCGGGATTTAACTGACGAAGCGACGATGCGTACTCAGAAATTCAGGTTTATTAGTGCATGCCACGATAATTTATTGTTCTTCCCTTCGTTCGGAATTACGCAATGGCCGGACAAGCAACCGAGCCTCGTGAAAACGTCTCTGCCGGACGTGCGTACTTTAATTAAACGCCGCTTCCGGTCTGTCATTAACTCGCTCGCTTACCGGCCAACGACGATTAGAGCGCGACGTTCGCGCGAGTACACGCAATGTTGCCAGAAACAGATTCGGTTTTTCTAGAAGAAAAAAAAAATATTGTAGGGAGTCATTATTTAAAGGGAACTTTGGGAATTTTCTATGAATTGTTCAAATTTTTGGGGAATTGTTTTATTTTCTTTTGCACCCCTGGAATAAGTTAATAAAATGAAGCTTTAATAGTTTCTTTATTTTACGTATTGAAATATGTGACAATATATTTAGGAGTATATAAAAAAATAAAGAAAATGCATTGCAATTGCATAATTTTTTGTTGGCTGCCGTGTATAACGCAGTTTTACGCGCTGTTTATTCCTACATTTTATGCGCAAATTATGCTAGTTGGTCTTTACGATAGTTAGTGCACCGTGGACATTTCTGGCAGTTACCGAGTGACACTACTGCCAATACTACGTCAGCATGAAACAAGTTATTCATTCAGAGAGATAATGATGAGTACAGAATCAATAGCAGTAGAGAAAAAGAGAGCTCATCTATACGTTTTCCGAGCAAAATCATTACTTACACAATAATGTGCAATTAGACAGATTATATCTTTCGAGCACAAAAAAATTCCTTCAAGTAAATATGTATAATCACCGTTTTAATAGCTTAAAGATATTAATTTTTTAAAGAAGAGTTCGTCATCTTTTCCTGTATCTTGAAAATATTAAAATGCGATGTATTGAATCCTCTCTTTTTTCAATCTATCCGTGTCAATCGTATAATTACCGAGTTCATGAGCGATGCACCTACTATTTTGCAAATCATTAATAATCGTCGACGCAAGCACCAATTTTAGCGACGTTTTCCGTCTGTATTGTGTTTTAAATTGTTTATTTCTTCGTTTCGAGGGCGGAACGGCGCTTTGCGCGATATTGTTCTAATTATAACGTTGCAATCAATGAAAAGCATCGAGCATTTTCGCGAGCAAAAATGCATTTTTTTTTAACTTTTTTAGACTCTTTGAATTAATTTTAATTTTTACATTAAATCGGAATGACCTCTATTTATGATATATTTAGGGCTGCTCAATTTATACTAGTTTTACATCTTATTTTACTCATTCGATTAAAATTTTAAAAGATTGAAATTAAATTTAACATTAAAATTTAATTCAATTTCACTTCAAACTTAATTCAACCAATTTGCTTTAACAGAGATTCATGTGACTTCCTTCTTCTTATATTTCTTCAAATATAGATATCGATTTTAGATAAAGTCACGCATATATATTGTCTACATTCAAAGTGTCATTCCACATATTTGGCTTGGGTATCGAGCAGTTATTAGGGAGAGCAACCTGTAAAAGTCAATGATTTATAGATATTTCATATTTGTCCCGTGATTGCTCATCTCTCAGATGGAGAGTTTTGCGAAAATATCGAAACTCGAAAAGAGGAAAAGACGACATACCCAAGACACGAATCCAGTTTGATCCAAGTTGCGATAGTCTTTAAATGCCCGGTACACTTTTCTCGCGGCCGCAGGCGACTCTGGAGTTTCTCGTCACTTCCTCGGAGCACGCGCGCACCACACCACCTTTTTACTTATTTTTCTTCCCTTCCTCCGAATTCTCGTCGATTTTGAGTTGATTGAGTCGATTGCGATCCTCGACGAATCACATCGTCCCGTTTAATCTGTGATGCGTTAACGCGTTGGACGCATGAAAAACTACTTTCTGTAAGAAGTCTTTAATATTCGCACGATTTGCGATCTCGATTATTACGCGAACCACCAACAACTTATACGCGTCTCACGTGTGTCAATAGCTCGCGGATGGTTGCAAAATCCTTATGAAATGTCCGTTCCGGATGTGCTCGGTAATAATCACCGAGCAAATCCCGTAATCGTTTCCACGCTCACGTCACGCCGATAATCCAAGTTAATGATATAATCGCTCGTCGCATTCGACGCGTTTCACCGCGCGCGCTCTTCGTCGCCCCTTCGTAGACACGGCACGTAAAACGCAGCAAGATTATTACCTCGACGACGAGTATCGGTAATTGCGAAAAGGAAATCAGTCTCGAAATGATCAGACCGAAGCTGTCGCTTGTTCCCAGAAACGATTTTCGCGCGAATTTCCAAAATGGCGCCGACTCGAATCTCGTCGATTCCCGATTATCGCTCTCATCGAATTGATTCTTTCCTCACCGGGAACTCGTAGCACGGATTCGTTTCCGGACGAGTCGAGAAACACGCGTCTCTTTGGATGCTCGAAGGAACGGCGCGCGTGACGTTGTCCTAGGTCGCGAACGATCGATCACTCACGTGGCGAGTACGATGACGGCGTCAAAACGTGTCGGTCCTCTTGGACCGCGTTAAGAAATCGATGGCAAAGTCGAAGCGTCGAATCGCGTCGCACTTATATGTTCCGTTTCCAGGAGTTTGAAACGTCAAATTCGGTCAGAAAGATTCTGGCCGCATATTGTCAACTTATACACACGAGTAATGCACAAATATGTCAAAACTCTAATGCAGCACAAAGTTGAAAACGATGTCTCGTCTCTCGAAACGTGCAAGAAATACTCGAGATGAGTTGTAAAGATTCTCTAGACGACGTTAAAATCATTAAAGACACTACACTTCTTTTCCATTACGAATGACTCGACAAATAATCAAAGTCACGTGAATACGATGTTACATTATACAAGTTTCTTTTCCACTCGCATAAATTAGCGCTACATCAATGAAAATGACAATCAATGATATATGACTTTATTTAACGATCTCCCTTTTACGATGAAATCATCGAAAATGAAAGATCCGCGTTATCCCGAAACAACGTCAATCTCTGTCCAAACTCTAAAGAGTAACGCGTCACCCCCTTCACTTTCTCTCAATACGTTCCTCTCGGACCGAACTCATCATCGCGTTCTCCAAGTTTTGCGCGCGCGTTCGGTACCGCGCATCAAAACACAAAGTAGCGGGCCGCAAACCGCCTTCGCGACTCGCCGAGTCCCTCACCGAGGTGGCGGCTAATGATCCGCGCTCGGGATCGCCGATCGTTTTTCCGGGCGCGGGAGGTCGCGGAGGTGTCCCGAATAAGGGTTGAGGAATTTGCGCGCGCGCGCGCGCGCCCCTATCCTATCTCGCGATGCTGCGCTCGACTCACGTGGCGGCCCGGTCTGAATCTCGTCGGCGGTGACCACTTCCTCGGGCCGTCGACCAATCGGCTGCACGCCAGGACGCCTCGAGCCACGATTGCGGATCCTCGACTGTGTTCGGTCGCGGTCGGTAGCAGTCCGTCTCCGTCGCTCTCACGTGCTCGCCGCGCGTGTATACGTGCGTGTGCCGCGTGGTTGGCGGCGGCGGTGACGGCGGCGACCGACGACAGCGGCAACGGCAGCGGTGGCGGCGATGACGGCGATGACGGCGGTACTCCAATGTCCGTAACCACTTTCCGAACCGATCCGGAGCAGCCCCGAGGGGGCAGATCGCCGCGGCGACGCCTACGACCAGGACGACGTGGACGTCCAGGACTGGCCGTGGTCCTGGTACCGCTTCTTCCGATCACCGCACGCATGAAAGCACGCGCTGCCTCGCATCGAGCGTGCGCTTCGTCCAGCGTCCGACACGATACTACCTCTCTCCCCTTCCTATCTGTCTTTCTCGCTCTCCCTACGCCCCCTCCATCGCCGCCGCGTTCGCTCCGTCTCCCTCTGATCGCGATCCCCGCGAGTAGGGAGGACGCGGAGAGAGAGAACTGCTCTCTGGTAGCCGCTCATTAAACGCCGCGGTGACGTCAAGAGCAACGATACTCTCGAAATTCGCGAGGGAGAAAGAGAGACGGCGTTTGTTCGCGCCTCTCGCTGCGTAATTGATCCCGGTGCGCGCGATCATGATTGATGAATAGATAACTAAGGCTTAGGTTTGAGGATTTAACGAAAGTGCGTGAGGAAAGGTAGCGGAAGCTTTTACGTTTCGTAAAATGAGGATGACGGTCGTTTCACCGAGTACTCGCTTCTTGATTTGGCAGCTAAATAGTATGATTATGCGATTCGTGCGACAGTATGCAATTAGCAAGTTATTTCTGCTTAAATTATATACTTGTCTCGATTCTATTCTTGATGGTTTACGTCTCTGTTTATTTTCAACACATCACGTCAGCTGTTCTCCTTTAGATAGAATTGTATGAAACCTCATGATATCCTGCCTTGGGTTTAATATTTCAGATAGAATCTCGAAAAAGTAGTTTGCAATTGATAGTCGAATCTAAGTGTTGTCCGAGCGTAACTCGTGCGAACACTTACTTCTTCGTGTCCTCTTGTCATTAAACACTTTGCGCTTTTCCTTCGCACATGTCCGTTTACGTTTATTAGCGTACAGTCTTCGTCAAAAGATTACCTCGGAGTTGCATATCATATGCATTTGTAAAACAAACATTTCGTTGACGTCAGGAACCCCGATTAGTGTGACATAATTCGCACAGACAACAAACAATCTAATTGACATAGTTGCAGAATAGAACTTTGTAACAGATGTTATTGATCATTCGAGAATAAAAGTAAAGTGAATGAAAAGGTCATACAATTGCTTGGATATCTTGCAACTATGCATGAAAAATTACAGGAACATAAAATTATAGTCCATGCAGTTTCATTACGACACTACTTTATCGAATGTAAAATTTCTCATGATATACATATCCCATCATTTATTAATCAAATTTCTAAAATACACAGCCTGAAAAATAATACATTAACACATTTACTGAACGTTATCATTTCTTGGATATTTTTTAGACACCTCTACATATCATTTAGACATATTATTATTAGATATCTGTCACTGTGTCATTTTTCTAAAATCAGAAACTGAGAAGAAAAGTGTATAAAGAAATCGCAAAATGTTTGCGCGAATAATTTCGACGTCGCAAAGTTGACGAAAATATGCGAAACGCGAGGTGGCGTCGCTCGCGGAATCCTGCGGACGACATTAGTGATAGGAAGTGCGATTCTAATTCGCGGAAGAGCGTCGGGACGCGAGCGATGAACGCCGTCGAGAGAGGAACGTCGTCATGGGTGGTCCGTCTAAAACGTCCGTAGCTACTTGGAAATGGATTTTGCCGTTGCGCTCGCGCGACGTCCACCGCTATTTAAAGATGAGATGTACAGCCCCGAGAGGCTGTATTCTTTTCCTCGCACTTGTCCCCCCGTCCCTCCCCACCTCCTCTCTCTCTCTCTCTCTGTCTCTCTCTCTCTCTCTCTCTCTTCCTTTCTTCAGCACGTGACTCGGACCGATGGAAAACGCCGTGAGTGCAAAGACACCTTTCACGCGATACCATCGTCGGCGGTAATCAACGGGGCGAAAGGTCCCGGCACTTAAAGGCTCGGTTTCGTCTTCGGGTTTTGTAATGAGAGGCGCGGCGGCGGCCGCGAGAGTCGTGTATTTATTTTCAATAAACGTATCCTGCGACGTCCGGCACGGATCGAAACGAGTTAGATGCTTGCGAACGCGCGAATGTAGATGTTAACGACGAGTATCAGTCACGATTAGGGATAATATTATTATTGTCAAGCGCACGTAGTCATGTGGAATATCAACGAGTGGAAATGTGACCATGTCTCCTTCTCTCTCTCTCTGTCTCTGTCAGTCGGACGCGACGCTTTCTTTATTCACTTAAATTTGTGAATTTTGCCGTGCGGACACCTACACGCTCGTTGAATTTACCTTACGATCCATTTGTAAGAGAGAAGTGTACTTGCAGCTGAGACCTCGGTTTTGTCGATGACTCTCTTTATAGTTCACGTTCGATTAGCCGTATCGATGTGTGCTTAGTGCAATAGGATCGATTATAATAAGAAAATGTTTTTTTTTTACGCGAGATAAGTTATTTCTGCAGCACAAAATATTATTACATGGTAACAATATTTATTTATATTACTATACCAGTTGAAGTGTTGATTCGTGGATATTAATATTTAAATATCCATGTACGCGAAATTCATGGGATGTTTTCATATTATTTTTTATATAAAAATAATCCGACATTTTTAGCTATATTTTAGTGTTATTCGGAATCTTTTCGGAAACGAAGTAATCGACACGCGTTGGACGAATTTTCCTGAACAAATGTAATTTGGCAGCGGTTAGTAATATAAAACCGACATTTATAGAAGCTTACGTTAACATGACGTAAGCAAATTCGACATCCGAGCGAGCTGACATCGTGTTAAATGTAAATAGTACGTATCGTGGCTCTCGCAGTATTATGTTAGATGTACAACGCACTTTCACCGGAAAGTATTATCAATGAGTTCACGTCTAAAGGCGGAACGCGCGCGGCTCGAAATATCCGGCGCCCCCGGCATTAAAGATCGCAGTCCGCGCGCAAGTTGACGCGATAATTATTACAGATTATTCGCCTACCTGCCGCTTTGTCCGCGCTTGATTGACGAGTGATTGTTTAAATAAATGAAGTATTTCTAGCGAGATATGAATGGTGACTGTAAAGTAGATTGGCCGATATATTCGAGGTCCGGATTTTTCCAAATCCGGATCTCGAATATATCGGCCAATCTGTCGCCAAAATTAATAATTATCCTTCTCTCGTTGAAATGGAGAATCGCGCTACATACTGTTCACGATTCACCATATGCTACGACAGGAAGTTATCTACGAGCTGGCTTTTATACGCGAGCCGTTACCATCCGAAAATAGCTGACGTTTACCTCCGAGACGCGCTGAATTTCAGAAACAATCGCGAACTCGCAGCAAATGTGATTTAAAATCGCTTTTTAATATTCAATAAGAGATAAAATATTAAAAAATTCGTAGAAAGAGATGAATACTGCAATATAAGACCGCACGTGTGATTTCACGTATAAATATATAAAGTAAGGTGAAATATAATAGACTAAATATATATAGCGCTAATAAATGTTTAATATTAAAATATGAAAAATTAAGAAGAGGAATAATTTGGTTTTCTGAAAGTCAGTAGTCCGGTGCTTTCTAAAACAGATTTACATGGAAAACGTGTGAGTTTGATATGAATTCAGTTATATAAAACTTTAATAAATTGTAAGAGATGATGAATCATGTAACGCGATGGCTCGATCATAAAAGATCTCGGGAGAGATGTATCACGTTCCATGTAGAAAACGTTCTCACACATAGCAGCGATTACAGCCAAGCCAGTGATGATTTCCGACGCCGGCGAATGCTCGAAGGTTTAACAATCGCTTCTTGTCAATTAGCATCACATACCGGATGATTTATCGCGGAACCGGTTGCGCTATTGGGCGTTATGTCTCGCGCGGTTATTTCGAACGTTATACCGGCGCGATGCCACCTACATTACAAAAGGGACCGATTAATTAAAGTCGAAACATCCGCGCCCCGAAATAACGTCCCGGCGTCCCAAATCCGGCACCCGTTCCGATATCGTCGCGGTAATTATTTCGGATAAATTGCGTGCCACTTACGCCAAGGCAGGCGCAACGGTCCGCGCGGCTCGCAGCCGAAGCGCGAAACATTTGTGACCCGAAATAGCCACACGCCCGCGTACGTATCGCCCGCGGTACACGCCACTTCTCATTGTTTTTCTTAGACTGCAAGGTCGGCCGCGGCACATACAGAGTACGCTACCACAAACGGGGAAAATTTTAACGACGTTCCGACCAAGCCTCGAGTACAGGGTACTAAGCAGATTTCAAATGCGCAAACTAGTGATAGTCATTTTTAACTTTGTTTAAATAAAACATTACTAAAATATTACTCAAATTTATATTTCATAAGAGATAGTAGATATCAATATGTAAAAAATATTTATTCAAAATAAAATAATAGATATGTTGATTAAAATTGGAATTTAAAATAATTGCCAGAAATTCCTTTATTTGAAATATATTTAAAACTTCTTGATCTAATATTTCGATATTTTTAATTTGGAATATTTGTTTTCTGAATCAAGTAAAGAAAAAATAGGGTTTTTAAATATACATATTTATTTTATACTTTTTGTCTGTTTCTGAAATAAACAACGTTTTTTCAAGGATGTTTTGTACTTATTTTCAAAATATTGAGAATTTAATGAAAATTGTACAGAATGTACTTACATATGTTTATAATCTTCAGTACAATTTTTAAAGCGATTCACTAAAGCGTTCACAAGTTATAAGGATTTTAATTTGCACCGAATTAACATGTGTTCTTATGGGAAACGTATAACCACGTCGATTCAAATGACAAAAACACATGGAAATAATATTCAGAATTCGTTTAAAATTTGCAAAAGTGTAGTTTAGATACAGAGGAAATATTTGGTCAAATAATATTATACAAGTACTAACTGGTTAAAAAGATATTAAATATAATTCAATGAAATGAGCCATGTAATATTTCAGTAAAAACGCAATAAATATTAAAAAATACATCTCTGCACTGTAGCTAAGATCAAATTGTAATAGTCCACGTAATTTCTCATACTCAAAATACATCAAAAGTGGATATATATTCGTCAATATTGATTTTTAGCTATTGTTTGCTGAGATTATACATACAAAGCATCCTTAAATTAAATCAGAAATTGAATATTGATATGTTAAATATTAAACATGACG